TACATTGGGCGGGGTGGCCGAATGGGATAACGCGTGTGCACTGCACCGTCGTTGCCCGGCAACCTGAGAGATTTGATTAAAAAAATGCTCATGTATGCCTGATGGAATGCTCCGAACTACATACCCAACCCATCTTAACCTCCTTACCTTCATATCACGGGTTGTTTATTAATTAGATTCTCTAAACATTTATTGGTACATCTCATTTCATTAATGCCTCTGATCCCAGGTTGCTTCGGTTATTGTGCGGAGGATATTCCTATCAAATCTTTTAACACTTTTATAATTTCCTTGTTAGTTTCTAGGCACAGGCGGATCTACGGGGGGAGGGGTGGAGGACTTTCCGCCCGAAGCCTTATCCCCAAATGATAAACCGTAACCATGTTTTAAGGAAAAAAAAAACATTTTAAAGTATTGTTATTCGAGAATGGGCTAATGCGTGTGCACAGCACCGCTGTTGCCCGGCAACCTGATATATCAATCAAATAAAATAAAATAGTCACGAGTTCGCGTCCCGGTGCCCGGAGGAGTTTTTAAATCCCCGCCCACACTCCCTGGCCCGGGGAAACCCCCGTATATCCTTAAAGGCGAGGAAGGGGAGGACAGGAAAAAAAAAAAAAAGTTAATATTTTTACTAATATATCTATCTATATGCGCTGACTTTCGGATTTGATTGGGGGAATCGATGGACTATAACAAAAACAAAAAAAAAAGGCGAGAGTATTTGTTATTTGTAAAAATTCAACATGTTATTGTAAAATGAACCAATATAATATTTACTATTTATTTTTTTGTATGTTTGTATAGTTGTAAGATTTTTTATTTTATTTTACTTATTACAAATACTTGAGAATATCTATAATTATATATATATATATATATATATATATATATATATATATATTTTTTTTTTTTTTTTTTTTGTCTAGAATCCTTGGATTTTCATTGTCTTCATAATAGTCCTTTTACTGCTAAAAAGCATTGTAAGGTGTATTTTGATTTTTGTGTCGTTCCTGAGTATTTTTTCTACATCTGTAATATAAAAGGTGATGGGGCTCACCTCAGGCTTCAGTTGACCTTATCCTCTAGAGCTTACAACTAAATTAATAAAACACCTATCCTTATGTGATTTGTCGCCAACGATTTTGATTTTTTATTTTAGAAATTCTTTTTCTGATGATAAATTTAGTGCTGCTTTTATATCCAGTGTCTTCATTCTCTGCAGCGTGGTTCCTCTTACAATTTTTCTGATTGTTCCATTTTGGAAATATTGTAATCTTTTCCCAGTTGTTTTCCTGACATGAACGAATAGAGGTGCACCATACAACAGAGCCGGCCGTATTATACTTGTATAGAGTAGAAGATTTAGGCGTAAAGATAGGTTTGCTGTCCTAATCAAATTTAGAGACGCCATTTATTATTTTGTTATTATGATTATAACTTCTAGAAAATTTTTACATAACTTTGGTCAATTCGCAACGAATAAATATTTCCTTTAGCGAATTTTAAGTTCTAGTTTGCAATAGTATAATTTATAAAGCTTCTGCTATGAAATTTACATGTATTTTTATTTTATTGGCATAACATTTATTACTGCCATAGTATTAAATTATAATTAAAATGTATTTTATGAAATTAATTATTTCTTTTGTTACAGGAAAGGCTGTTAAAAGCATTCTTATAAAGCGTGAGTAATTTAATAAGTTTACAGATAGTTTAATTAAAAAATTAATCAATTTTAATTAAAATTTTGATTCAACTAGTTTTGTCTCTCTATCTATCTCTGGCTGTTATTGATAATTTTCATCAACAACGTAATAATATCAGTAATTAATTTTATTGTTATAATGTCCAAATTCATTAATATATTGGGTTGGCAAATAAGTCCTTTCATTTTTTAGGGTGAAATAAAACAATGTATTATTTATTTTAATTTTAAACATAAAATTTATTTTAATCTACAATATATTGACAACTATTTAATATGACTTTTTCTCATCTTTCCACTAACTGCATAATGCCATGTTCATAGAATGTCTGGAGTTTATTGTTAAAAAACTGATCCAAGTGGTTTTTGATGTCAAATTTTCCTGAATGAAATTTGGCAAATCAATTTTGACTGGTGTGTTCGGTCAAAGCGTTATCCCCATGAACACTGCAAATGTTTGAGCTTATGCGTGCTGCGTGCGTGCTTACCTTTTTCAAAATAATAAAACAAAATATGCCGACAATGAATCATATTTCCTCCCATATTCACAGTGCAATAGCTTACACAATACTAAGCTAGTTTCAACATGAGTAAACAGATATAGTTGTTGACATATTACAAACAGGATAAACAATCCATCAGATATGAACTGTATGATAGTGCATTAAAAATAAATTGAAAAACCGAAAAGACTTATTTGCCAACACAATATAATCGTAGTTCTACATAAGCTGTTTTCATACTTCAAGCATTTTCTATAATTTTATTCGAATATAATTCCATTTCGTCCTCGTTAACCACCTATAGTAACCGGATGCTTCACTTACTTAAAGTATATTGTTAGCTATTCGATAAGTTAATTAAATAAATGGAAAATTTATGAAACAAATAATTTATGCAACCTACAAGTTAAAATATAAATTTCCATTTGAGTTTTCAAACCGGAAAATGACGTAAGGTTTGAATATTATATATATATTTTTTTTTTGCGTAGGTGCGTTAAGTTTTTCGAATTTTAATTCCCTTTCACTCGTTAAGTATAATTTGACAGAGCATGGGCGTTTTCATGGAAAGTTATGAATTATTGCAAAGTTGAAAAGCAACAAAGTATACCAAGTGGAAAATTTTTATTTTTGTAATTTTTAGATATTTATTTTTTAATTTTATTTTTATAACCGGAAAATGGACCAGTAAACAATAGGTAAAACATATTATAAATAGATGAATCGTATAAAAATATTTACGTCAAAATGATTTATTCCTCATAATTAATGATGGTATGATAATTTTTGGTTTATTCTTTTCAATAATGAACCATTTTAATCGTCCCAAAAATTCGAAAACTTAACCCCTCTCTCCTCAAAATTTGAGGTTTTAAGTTAGGCACGATACGTAGAACTGGAAGATCGAATAGAACAAATTGTTCGTTCCCTGTCTGCCGTACGCGCATTTTCTCCAAAACTACGGGACCGATTTTTTTTTCAAATTTGGAATCGAAGTCACCCGAGGATGATGCTTCTACCTCGACATTACTATTGGCCCTTTCCTTTCAAGATGGCGGCTGAAAAACTCTTGTTGGAATAGACTGCAGCACCTGAATGGATGTACCGATATTAATGAAACTTAGTTAAAGTATTCTCTTTGATGTCCTTTATATTTATTTATATAACATACTTCAACGAAAAGAAACTGAAAAAAAAAAGATACGAGGGGCGATAAAATTTTGATTTCCGATTAACTCTTAGAGTATTCGATGTTTAAGTATACCTTTTTTTATAATATGATGTTTCAAATGCATTTAAATTTTCTAAAAAATGAAAAAAGTTTGATCGAAAACTTAATCCCCCTCCAATTTTTTTTTATCTTTTAAAAATGACATAAAAGAACAGTGACAAATAAATGATATATGAAATAACTTTACAATTTTAAACAAATTAATAAAGATAAGCAATAAATTTATGAAATATAAATGTTTGGTAATCGACAATATTATCCCTAAACTTCACACTACATAAAATAAAGGGTTATCATCTTCTTTTTTTTTTTTGTTTAACTTTCAGAAAAATGTAAAATTGATTTATATATATATATATATATATATATATATATATATATATATATATATATATATATATATATATATATATATTATTTTTCTTATCAACAAGAAAATTAGCCGAAGATGAAATTATTTACTTTTACTCATTCGGCTACTATAATATATTTGACATACTGACCCAAAACCATACTAACACAGATAAACATTATAGAATAGATAATATAAACCTCACATAAAGTAGAACAGAACATGTAAACATATTAGTTACACAAAAATATATGAAAATAAACATTAAATATTTGTTAAGAAACATTAATTATATATAATGTTCAAGATTCAATAATAATATTTAATCACAAAATAATTCAGTCAATATTTGTTTCAAATTTTTGTAATAAATATTATTTATTGCGTTAATACTTATATTTTATAATGTTGACCATAAAAACAGTTTAATACATATATAATCTACATCAATATGCATAATAACTATTTAGCCACTTATTTAACTAGTTATTTATTTTAATAACTTTTTTTCACATACCAGCCAATTCTCATCTCTAAGCATCCGTAAAAAAATATATATATATTAATCTTAAAAATAAACTACTAGATAAAGAAGCATGGGAAAAGAGCTATTAGAGCTGAAATGTTCCTTTAATATTTTTCTAATAATTATACTTTAATTGACTTAATTTAAAAGTAAAATATAATAAGAAAAATACACCAATGTACCTTAAGTTTGGAGGTAATTAATTATTTTCAACCTTCGAGATGAGATATTTTCAGCATATCCATGTTAATATTAAGGATTTTTATTTATTATTATTTTTTTTTTTTTTTTATAGAACCTCAGAAATATGAATTATTAGGTGCCGTGAGATATTAAATTATAATTATATAATTTAATGTCTCACGACACCTAATAATTCATATTTCTGAAGTTCTGTAATATATATATAATAGAGCTAGAAAACGACAATAACAATTTAGGCGAAACATAGTTTTAATATTTTGGATGTTAATGGAACATGTTAATGTGATAAACATAAAATATGTGCAGCCCAACACTAAGTGTTCACCATCAAATAGTTCTTTAGGTGCCTTCACCAGTAGATTTTTGTATGTTTTTACACTTACATGTATGATTTTTTTTTTTCCATTACATAAAAGACACCAACACACAAACGTGATTAGACACACAAACACTAACACACATTTTACATATCTCACCGGTCAGCTGATTTCCTACTTCCGTGTCCTTTGTCGTCCCTCTTCTTCGAGGTACTTCCTGATGCATTTCCTCTTCTGCTGGACATCTTACTGCGGTCTTCTATCTTGAACTGGCACTGTTAGTTACGCGTGGGTTTCACACAACCCCACCAGTTCTACCGGCTACTGTAAATATGTAGTGTATCTTACATGTCCATCCTTTGATAACTCATACATGAGACGGACATGGAGGATTGCCTGAAGATGGCTGGAAATTCCTAAAAGAAGAACTTATAATAAAAATAAAATGTCTGTTAATGATCTTCTATAAAATATTCAAATTCTGGCACATAGCTATTAGTAAACAGAATATCTTTTTTTTATAACTCATTCCATACCACGTTTGTTACTGGTATCGATTGTTAAAATTCATGAGTATTAAAAAAAAATATAGTAACATCTGCCTGTTTTCGAAGAAGTTATATAAAGATCAATGAAGAAATCAGGTATTTGTGCAAGAATTTAGACAGATGTATTAAAATGACCTCATTGGCGATTAATGAATAAATTGTATTAATTAATAAATACTAGTGTTCGCCAAGAGATCGAAATTCTACCCTATTACTGAAAATTATATGAATTTGCATGTTTCCATCAGTTTTTTCTGCTCTGATATATTCGTACATTCACTTTTATTTGTACTTACTAAAGAAAATAGTACAGTACCATTTTTTAAATTTTTGAGTTATAGACAAATAAAAATGTGAATCCATCGCAACTTTTTTTAAAAAACATATTTAAATCCACGTAGTTCACTCAGTAAAATTTTAAGGAAATCAATTTTTATTTTTCAATCGCTATGAAAATACATATTTGAGGTTTTTTCTAGGTGCAAAATACAAATCTCAAGTTTGTTCCTCCTTTTAAAAATAATTGATCCCACTTTTCTCTTTCGGTCGGTACAAATGATTGCATTTAAACATTGTACTATAGTAAGATGCCAAATATAAATTTGTCATAATTAAGCTCACCTAAAAAATTGAAAAAAAAAATGTTCAGAGAAACTAATGGTTTCCATCGTGTCTGATGAGCTCATCGCTCATTTTGGGAACTTGCCCTTATTATAAAATCAAATACATAAAATGCATCAAGGGATGGACAAAAATAAATGAGTTAAAGCTGAATGCAGATAAAACTAAGATTATTCTCATCGGGTCTAGACATCTCATTATTTCCCTTCCTTACTTTCCTCTACTTTACCTCAATAACCGCCCCATCCACTTTCTTCCTACAATCAAAAACCTAAGAGTAACATTGGATCAACTCCCAAGACTCCGTGACTGTATTCCTCTAAAGACCAGACAGCTCCTTCTAATCTCCCTTATATTCCTCCACTTCGACTACGGCTGTTTGGTGTATGGAGGGCTATCTCCCAGGATAGGAATGAGACTGAAGAAACTCATGAACTGTTTCATAAGATACACAATTGGGATCCCCAAGCCTTCTCATGTTTTGTGGTACACCGAGTTGAAGTCGCTTTATTTAGTGTTGGCCAAATGCGGAACTGAGACGTGTCTTGGTCTTGCAAACTTAGTCTTGGTCATGGTCTTGGTCTCGCGCAAGAGTCTCGCAACAATGTTGTAGTTACTTATTAGCTTATTAGCATAGAGATATTACTGTAATTTTTTAGATAGGAGAAAAAGCCCAAATGAAAAATTAGAGGAGTTAAATGCAAAAGTATATTTTTATGTTCATTTAAATAATTTTTTTTTTATTTCGTTTTTTCTCAAAATTTTATTTTATTTTTATTTGTTTTAATTTAATTTCACTGAATATACTGTATATATACTTTAATATTGATTAATGTAATTTTTGGCCAGATGTAGTTTTTATTTTTTTGTTCATATCTGTTATTCATAAGGGACCTTGTCCCAGAATAAAGTTTACTTTCTATCTATCTATCTATCTATCTATCTATCTATATTGGTTATACCAATCATTTACATCTGGTAACTAAGATTATGAAGTATTAGTAACTATTTTGCCTTAATTTGTATTAAAAGATTTTTTTTTTACCAGTCCTGGTCTTGGTCTTGCAACAGTTAGGTGGCCTTTGTCTTGGTCTTGCAAAGTGCAAGACCAAAACCGATTTTGAGTAACACTAGCTTTATTCTACCTTCTGACGGCAATTCCTCCTTGGTGTTTTCCTTTTCCAAGTCTTCAGAACAAAAAAACCCTTCCTACATCCTGGAACTCCTTATTCTACGTTCCTCTATCCACTATCTCAACACCAGGTCTCAACCTATAGATTTATATATCCCCTCCCATAAAACTGCTTTCTTCTGCAAATCCTTAGTCATTCGTGCTGCCTCCTTTTGGAACTCTCGACCTAACTCTACGCCAATCTTCTTTCAAAAATTCCTTCTAACATCTCCTGTTCCACCACCTACTCCATATTCAAATTGCCAAAAAAATGTAAAATTTACTTTCGTCTGTACACAGTTTAATTGAATCAACTGCACAATTGCAATAACAACAGTTAGTTAAGCATCATTTTGTATTCATCTAAGCCAGACTAAGATTTATAAATATGTAATTCTGTTTTTATTCTTAGGGGACTGTAGTCGCAGAAAAAAAAAATTAATTTAATTTCATCTAAAGTACTTAATAACATCATTATTATTATCGATTATTTTTTATCGATTACTTCCTCAGTCAGTCAGTGATGGAACTGCAAATGGTATTCAGATTTTCAAATTAACTTTACAGGAAATAGATTAAAACAATCCAGTTTTAGTACCACGTTCTTAGTTCTCAAGCTTTCGAGTACCATTTCATTTTACCATATTGGAACGCGCATAAGCGATAGTTATTTTATTAACCAATTTCAATTCTCATTCCAGGCGAGATCGTAAGTACGAGGCTTAAATTAAGGATGACTAGTCGTAATACTAAATAGGAATTATCGAGAACCTCCATAAAGTAAATTATGTCTATTTGTAGGCAACAGTAAAAAGAGGGAAAATGATTTGTATATTGTTTCAATATTTAATGACATTACAATGAGATGATAATGCAATGCGATATTTATGAATTGATTATAGTGAGCTATTTATTCTATCCTTATATTGTCATGACATGAACTGATGTTTTTTAATTTCGTACCTATACTAGGTAAGGAAATATTGCGATCGGGTCAAATTTCCGATATGCAGTTTTTGACGAATATATACGTTTCAGAGTCCCCTGAGTCCGAAAAATACATTTTAGCCATTGGTCTGTCTGTCTATCAGAGCTAAGATTTTCTCAGGAACTACTGAACCGATTTTGTTACTTCTTTTCTGAATTTTTATTATATGGTTTTGACTACGGATGCCTGTGACAGAAATTGGGAGCTCCATGGGCAATAGCTGCTGCGTAATAATGAAAAACATGTTTTCCATAGACTGTAGCGCGAAAACGGCTTTAACGATTTTCATGAAACTTTTCTATAATGTTCTAATGATTTTCCATTCAATTTTCGTACATTTTTTTAAAGATGATGAAATGCACTACAAATCTATATAAAAATTGCTCATTTTGGACAACTATTAACGAAGTTACAGCTATTCAATTTCCAAGGTATGATTGCGGGTTCATATCCTGGTGTCAGAAAGGGGTGAATGAGAGAAATAGATGACTAATTGAAAGTACGAAAATCTCTTGAACGCATCACACAAGCTTCATTATTTCCTCTAATTTTAACAGAAATTATTGTTTAACAAAATTAAGCTATGGCAAAAAGATTTCGATTAGCAATATTAGAGGGTATTGCAATTTTTACACTGATCTACCTTAAGTCGGTTTACATCGCTTTAATTTATCAAATAAATTGTACTTAAATCTTTTCTTTGATCAATTTTCAGGTAAATAAATCTAATTAAATTTTTTTTTGTTGGACATATGTAAAGATATAAAAACTTTTCTGAAATAGGTAGGAAATTCGTGTGAGTGGACACACCAGATATTTTATGTTATTTTATTTTAGGAATCCCGTTCGCAGGTTCGAATCTCATCACATGGTAGAAAAAATATTTATTCTGTTTTATTAGCCATAGGGTGACTATGGGGTTCAGGGCTCAGACCCAGCCTTTATAAAGTGGGTACCCTTAATGAAATGATTAATTATGTGGGCAAACACCAAAGACAGTTGAGCGCGATCTCAGTCAAATCTCCTCCTTGCACAACGTTTACCAAGAAACAATATTTACTTAAGAGTATTGAACCCAAAACCCTACATAGATTGTTGTGGTGAAGGTTTTTTTTTTTTTTTTTTTTTTTTTTAAATAATCAAATGATGAATGAGAGTGTTTCGAAAAGAGAAAGTTCAAATATAATCTCAAAGTATTAATTATTGCTAACTAAGGGAAAGTTGTGAAAGCTTCTTCTCATCTATTTGCCGTTATGACGCAGATTGGAATGAAATGGGCAATTCGCATTAAAAAAAATTCTAAAAACATTTACTTTCTTTTGTAAAAAGATTCATGGATCATCTCATACTTCGTTTCACAATTTTATTAGCTTATTTATTATTTCTGTTTATGTTTTCGTGATTTCTAACTTTCCTCCAACTTTGAACCTAACTGAAAGAATATATGGATGGAATCTGATGAAATTGATATGGAAACATCCAGGTACCAATCCACACAATCTCTGAAAATTTGAAAATTTCTCTGAAATGGGACGTTAATTAAATGAGGTACTAAAAATGCCCATTTGCTTTCCACTTGAATCGAAAGATACAGTGATCACAAAATTCAGAAAAAAGTTGGCCTAAAAAAATATTGGGCCGTTTGGCCTATGAACCTCGTTATTTTGACTTTTTAGGGGTGAAGATCACTCCAAATGACCCAATAATTTTGTTTACCACATTTTTTTTTAAATTTTATAATTAAATTATGTTACAATTAAAGTGAAAAGCAAATTGGTGTTAACGAATTTTTAGTTGCTTGATAAATACACATAGTTTGCTGCTATCCTTTTTGTTAATAAAAAATATAGGTTACTATAAGATGAAGCCCCACCCACGGAGTTTTATATGAATGTTAAAATTAAAAGGTTTGGTCCAGAGAAAGCAAAATTATTCTTTTCAAAGACGAGTATTTTATTCCACCCTTTAAAAATATAATTATAAACAAATAATAAAGTATTCGCAACCAACCAACTAGTTATTTCCATACCTATTAAAAATAATGCTAAATTATCTATTGTAGGCTATAAAATCTTTTATATATTGTTT